TTTCAATTAAAGTGTTGTAAAAGCTTCAGGTTTCTTTTTTACCTTAATGCATTTTTGGCATTAAAGTAAAAAAAAAAAAAAAAAAAAAGGCTTATGTGCAGCTCCCCCTTATACTTACCTGAGTCAATCTTGATCCAGCACTGTGCACAAGAGCAGTGGCACTGCTCTCTCTCTCTCTCTCCCCCCTCCTTATCGAACTCTGCGAGAGCAGGGGGAGCCATTGGCTCCTGCTACTGTCAATCACATCCAGTGGCAAGGGTGGGGCTAAGCCATACTGTCTATGTCAATAGACAAACATGGCACGGTTTGGGAGCAAGCCTAGTGGTTTCCTATTGTGGTATAAGGAGCAGTGTTAATTTTGTTGCTGAAAATTTTTTCAATCAGAATTTTTGTCAGTTGCATGTTTTCAGTGACAAAAACTAAATGAAAATCAATTCTAATTTTCGTCAACAAACAAAACGGAATGAAGATGTGAGGGAGGGATGTTTACCCATCTAAACTTCCGCTTCCTCATAGCTCCGCCTGTCTATTAAAGCCCCAGCTCCCTTACTCTATTGGCAAGCTATACTGACTGTGAGACGCAGGCTCTCTCTGCCTGCGAGTTCTGGAACAATGCCCTACAAACCACAGAAGAGGAACTCCTTCATCAGATTTGTCCATGTCTGTCTAGATGTGACGCGATGAGTGTTTCCCCTCCCAGCAAGGTAGCAGTGTTTAGCATTGTGTAAAATAACAGCCTCCCCAGACCGTTCAGTTCTCTGCCCTGGGCATTCCCTCACTCCCATTTACTTCCCCATCCCCACTTGCAGCTCACCTTCACATCCCCAAAGTATAAAGCACCTTGCCCTGTGCACTCCCTCACCACCATTTACTTCATCTCCACTTGCAGCCTAAATCTGTGTTAGATTTATACTCCAGTAGTATATACTGAGTTTGAAAATACTAGGAAACTGCTTAAATAATACATTACAATTTAAATAAATGTCATTTTAGTGGACTAAAATCTAGGTTTTTTTTTTAAGTCAAAGAATTCAAAATTAACACTGATAAGAAGAGAAGGAGCCAGGAGCACTGGCAGAGAACCTGAGAAGTGGATGATCAGGGCTGCTCTGTGCATAACCATTGCACAGAGCAGGTAAGTATGACATATTTGTTATTTTACAAAAGAAAAACAAGAACCTTTCCGATCACTTTAAGTTATACCTGTTGAAACACGTCAGTAACTTTATCTATGGGCACCTCTTTTTCATAGGGTGAAACACTTTCTTAATTTGTGTTGTCCATTTTCTTGCACACTCCAGAATTGGATTACATGCAATATATTGTAAAGATGGCCATAGATGGATCAAGATTCAGCCAGTTCAGCAGGGACTGGCCAAATTTCAATGTGTGGCCTCTGATACTAAACAGAAGTCAATCTAAGAATTGATTTCTGCTGAAATGACCTGTTGGAAAAAAGCCACTTGAACAGCAGCTGCAGCACTGATCATTGTATTGTGACAGTGGAAGAGCGCCCTCCCCTTCACAATACATTATCTTTAGCCCTCTGGCTTATTGCAAAAAAATTGAGCTATGTATGGCCAGCTTAACCTCCACTAATTAGGCTTTCGGTTTTTGGATGAAGACTTACTGCACATACTCTATTTTCATATTACATGCACTTGATAATTGATAGGACCTTCTCATGCTTCAGGGAAGTGCCTTCTTCTTCTCCAAAGTCAGCTCATACTTGAAACATTGGCTATTTCTCCTTAACTGAGAACAGTGGCTTTGGCTATACATGTGCAGGACATCAACTTACTGCATATAAATCTTATCAGTGTGTATTGTTTAAAAAAAAAAAAAACCCCCACAACTTGCACCCCATGAACAATGTATAAGCATGTATGTGCTGAATGTAGAATTAAAATATTTGCTATTTTTAAAGTATGGATTTACATATAAGATGCTAAGATCTAACTTTAGAAATTGTAGCCAAGGAGACCCGGTTACACGCGAATATATAAATCAGTCTACCGATTTACGTGAAATTATACAGAAGTCTAAAACATGCCTGTGCTTACATACAATCCAAGGCATGGTTCACACCACATGCAGTCCAGTGCTTATATTACTCTGCATTATAAAACCACAGGGACAGTAGGTTACATGGACTTCAATGACCATCTTATCATTGCAGTGCTTTTTAGTACAAATCAACAAAAGCAGAACATGCTGCATTTTTTTTTCCTGCAAGGAACTGCACTGGAAAGCAGTAAAATGCATCAAAAACACATCAGCACACATGAGAAAAACTAAAAACAGGAAGGAAAAAAGTGAAAAAAAAAAAAAGTACTGTAATGTATTGAAAACACATCTAAACTGCATGCAGAAATAAATCCAGACTGCATCTCTGGGGGGTGAACTGGCTATAAACCATTACAGTTTAGATAAGGTATGAAACAATAGTTTTATCCTTTGAAACATTTTTGCAAAACTGAAGTAGATTTTATAGCTGGCCACATTTCAATGTGATTGTACAATCTCCTTACCAAACAACCACATCACCTATATTTCCTGATCACTGGAGTAGGCAGTGATTGGCTAGCACAGTGGTTACTCTACAAAACCCACTACTAGCCAGCGATGAAGAATAGGAATAACCAAAAAAATTTTTTTTTTTTCCCCTTTTAATTTTATGCCAGGGATAGGATTTAAAAAAAAAAACTTGTGCACTGACTCTTGACCCTACTATAGATACAAACAATGATGTTACAACCACACCAGTAGTAGTGTTTGTTTTATTACCTTTTTGGGCCAGTTTTCCTTTGATATTAATAAAAAGTGAATTAGGAGATAGCCATTACCATTTATGACAAAATTAAGGCCCAGTTTGTCCTGAAAATGGGGTTATAATCCACCTGCATACACCATAGTAAAATTGTACATGTCATTGTGTACTAACACATGACAAAGCTACAAAACTAGGTTCAAGCACTAAGGTTTTATTTACCTAAATCAGGAAGGGACTAAGTAGGTCCTTGTGCTACACATTTGTTATTAAATCTAAAGATTTCCCAATACAGTAGTTTTGTAATACATGTGACCATTTTAATACAGTGTACATTGGGGTTGAGTTAATAATGGAGTAGTGAATGTTCGCTTTGCATAGTGAATTTTCACACAACTTCTTGAATCAAGGTGAAGCAAACTTCAATTATCCAATTACATGTGAGCTTTATCCTATATTTTTTTTTTTTTATTATATTTTTTTTGCACGCGCTCAGGTATTCTTTGCAATGTGAATTTTCATTTGGCTTCATGGCCTTTACTAAGCTAAGTGAAAATGAACTTTACAAAATGGAGTAGAGCATGTTCACTTTGCTATTTACCACTATGCGTATACAAGCCATAAGGCAATGTTTGTAAAGAAAGAGAAGAAACCATGTGAATATTAGATGGGCATGATGTTTGTAACAAAACAGCATGAGGCCCTACATGCAACATCAAAAGCAAGGAGTACTGCACACATGCAAGATATTATTATGATAGAGACATGAGGTACTGTGTTTAACAGAGGGATGACATGACAACTCTTTTCTTTTAGACATTGCTCCATTGCAATATCATGCAGGCTTGCCCAGTCATGGAGCAACATAATTGAAAAGAAAAAAAAAAAATTGACTTCTCTCACCCATAGGAAGTAGTAGTATGGCATCACACTCCTTTAGAAGCAGAGTTTTGATAAGTTACAGTTTACTAACTCTATAGCACCAGATTAGTTTAATTTTAGTCAGAATAATCTGATAAATAGTAAAATTCTGAATGGACAATATGGTTCTTGCAAATTGTATTATGGTAATATGAAATAGCCAATTAGAGGAATGGAAAACTTGTAATTACCAATCATCCAGGATATGATATCTAATGCAACAATCTCTGAAAGTTTTTACTCAGCATTTATCAGGAGACACAGTAAATAACCCAGTGTAGTGCTAGACCATTAGATTTGCTACAGGAAGCAGAAGGCTTGGTTCCTTCCCTTGGTATACCATCTTGCACAGACAACCAGCCTCAGTTCAGCTTTATATCCAAAGGGGCTAGGATGTTTCTTGTAGAAGAAATTGTGATATTGCCTACAGCAAGAAATCTTCAAAGTCCTGGAGATTAACTAGCACAGCTATCCACATGCTTAGTATCAAACTTTTGCTATTAAACCTTTAATCACTGTTTAAAAAAGGCACTAAGGCTAAAGTATTCTTTATATATTATCCTTTACCAAAAAGGTGTTTTGAGTCACCACAGCTTCTGTAATTTGTGTCTGTGGATAAGGATATTTTTTGCAGCTCTGTGTCACACCAAGGCCAACAAACCATATGGGTCTGTTATTTACAGACAGGGTGATACTTGCAGCAAGCACACTGCTGCCATGGCATTGCTCATACTGCCACTAGTATTCTTTCTGAACCTCAGTGAGTACTTTTCTCCAAGTTAGACAGGGAGGTCTTTAGAAAAAAATATATTCTTCTAAACAAGGGATACTTTTGGAAACAAGGGGAGGAAGTAGGAACACCTCATGAAGCACTTTTTTGGGCTATATTAAAAAAAAAAAAAGTTCACCACCTTGGGATTCTAGGGGAAAAAGTCTCATGGGCAGTATCCAGTCACCATAAGGGACCAGTCTATAAACCATGGTCTATGAATATCCAGCCTGTGTCCTCCAATTAAGATATTCCTTTGAACAGCAACTCTTTTACACTTAACAAAAGGACAACCAGGCCTTGGGAGTTGCTTTTCCTCCTTTAATGGATACAAAGCCATTAAAAACTTTGTTTAATTAGTACTCAGGCTGGCAGGAGCTGTACATTCATACAACTGAAATAGAAAAATAAATGCTGACTCAGGAACTGAAACCACTTTAAATCCTCTCAGCAAAAAACTCCCATAAAAATGGGTTACTCCTTTTGAGGTAATTTTAACATAAAATATAAAATTGTTTTACTGTAACAGGTGCTATTGTGTTAAATGCTGAGATTTTGCATTGCTGTAGCAGGATCTGGAGGCAGGTTTCCCAATTCTACAGACTTGGGCTTTTTGGTGGATTTCTTTGGATTAAATCCAGAGAGACGGGAAGCAAGACTCCTTTTAGGACGTGGCTTCTTCTGCAGGAGGGAGAAACAAGTTAGTAAATAGCAAAACATATTAAACACCCATAAGCACACTATGGAACATCAAGAACATCCCAGCATTCTGTGCTTTTGAAAACACATGGTTCCCCATTAAAATAATGGTGTGGAGATATAGGAGCTGGTGATGCTGACCAGTGTTAAGTCATAGGATATCAGGAGGTACAGTCTCTACCTGAATAGGTTTTTTGTGGGTTGGAGGCAGCAAGCCACTATAGTGGGGCACATGTACCTCGCTTGGGAGCAGGACATTGGGAGGCAGGCACCTTGCGGTTAATAGGCATCCAGCAGTGTTTACACTCAGGCTTAGATCAATAAGGAAACACTGGTTTCTGTTATGCAGCATGAAAATTTAGTCAACCAAGTAGTGAAGTTCAGGATGACAGCCCCAAGCCTAAATACTCTGAGAAAGCTTAGCGAGTTGCTAATTGCAAAGTAAAATAATCTGAGCCTAAATAACTCCCAACAACTATGTAGGTCCAGTGATTCAGATAAAATATCACTATAGTATAGCTACCCCCTCCACTTCCCTCATTACTTTCTGGTTTAGGGCAACTTGATAGTATTCTGTTAATTTTTCTGATCTATGTATGGTTATAAAATGTGATTACTGTGTACCAACTCTGAATGATTGCATCTGTATCAGTGTTACCCATATATGAACACTGCTGCAGTATACCAAATGTACTTTGATTACTAATGTAAAAAAACAGTATAGCTTTCCCTATTACATCTGAGGTTCTCTGTGACACCACACACACACACACACACACACACACACACACACACACACACACACACACACACACACACAAATAGAATTAAATACAGTATTGAGTGCAGCTCATAGGGGCCTTTAACACCTTTGCAATGTGTAGAAAACAAAAAACCCCTACACATGTCCAATGTGTAGCAGCACATTAAAGCAGACCTAACCCCCCCACCCCCTGGGCAGAACACATGGTAGAGTGCTGCAAAATGTGTTGCCTTTGTGCACTGGGAAGGCCATTCAAGGTGAATGGCGCTGAATTAGGTCTTAAGATCTGTATTACTTGATACAAACCAACCCATAGAACTAGAATTCAGCTTTAACAGCATTCTCATACGTGTCTGATTTTAGTAGTGTGTATGGGTACTGCACCAATTTAATGAACATTGTTAAGGAAAAATTGCTCACCATCTTTTTCTTCTCTGGATCATGGGTATTTGCATGTCTATCAAGACTTTGCTGTAAGAGACAAAAAGTTATTTGTTTGAGCATTTTCTGGTCAAACATCAGAAAAGGGTTCTGGTTTCAAAGTATAAAAAAAAAAAAAAAAAAAAAAAAAAAAATTATATAGCAATACTGTTCATGTTAAACATTGCTATACAACAGTATGGACCATAGTGAGATCATATAAAACATGAAATTACATTCACTGGTTTCTCTTGAGTGATCACTGCTCAATATCCTATTGAAAAAAAAAAAAAAAAAAAAAAAAAAAAAAAAAAAAAAAAAAAAAGGAGGACAGGTGCACTTTACTGCCTTCCCTACCAGAATTTTGCATTAGTTCCTACTTTCAAGTAATACTACAGCTACAGGCTCATCACTATGCAGCCTGCCTAGCTTCTCTCCTAAACTGAAGACTGCACAGCACTAACCGAGCACCATGTGTTTTGCTTTAACGGAAAGTCCATTTGTAGGAGACTGTCCACTGAAATACATAAAAGGTATTTCAGAAATAGGGTTGCTGCAAGAATAAGTTATGACCAACTCTTGGGAGAGAAAAGAGAAACTAATACACTAAAAGCTGTACCTCTCAAGAACTGAAGACCATGTGAAATAAACACTGGTGCATCAAGGGCTTTAATTTACCTTCATTGCAAATGTCTTGCCACATCCAGGATGCTCACAGGCAAATGGGCGCGATTCCTCATGAAAGGAAAGGATATGACTCTGGAGGCCAAACTTTTTGGTATATGTTCGGTCACAGCCATCCCTGGGGCATTTGTATACCACTCTCTGCTCATCATGGGTTCTCATATGGTCCTTCAGGTAAGTTTTATTCTTAAACTTGCGACTGCATACATCACAGATGGCTGGCTCTGTACAGCAAACTAAAATTATATTAGAAAAAGATCCTTTGATCACAAAAATTGATCTTGTTACTGGCAAATATAACTGCAGCAGGAGCCATTTATTTTACACAAAGATCTTAAATGTTTTGCAAGTTAAGGACTAATTCACACATTCAATAATGTCAGTACCAAGAAACCTTTGTATCCTATGACTCCTACAATTAGTACACCCAATTTAGACTCTCATGCCACTGATGGCTTTAAATCACTGCAATGACCATTCCAAACCTGCTTAAGTGGCAATCAATTTCATCTGCACTACCATTCAGTGCTCCAGCATTTTTTACAACACAAAAAACACATGAAAACAAAAAAAAAAAAAAAAAAAAAAAGCCAGAAAGTAGGCAGTGTTACCAGTTGACCAATACAGCTAAATTCCCCTTGCACATATTATCATTCAGCCTGCTGAAGATCCCTGGAATATGTACAGATTAACACATGGCAGTTTCTCATGTATGGTCTAACTATCCTGACTAGAAATATGGAATTGCTGGCTACAGTTTACAATCTAGCACTGTGCATGTCAAAACAAAAGCACATGTGCTTTTAGTGGAGAGAAGGCCAGAGAAAGGGGATTAGAGGATGTAGACTGTTTTGCCTGTCAATTTTAGAGCATTTAGAACCAGGTTTTAAAAAAAATCTACACTAAAGTGCTTGGTTTTGAATGCATAGTAACATTGTTCATTAAAGAGGTCTGTAATAAACTGTTTGTAGTTCTCAATAGAACACAAGTGTGGCCTATAACTTTAAATCCCATAGCTTGGTATGGATCAGCAGCTATAGAAAGCTGCAGGAGCCTGTGCTCTGCACCCACAACCCATTGATTAATCGTCTCAATGCTTTGCAGGCTCCCATGCAAAATGCACATTTTTCCTGCAAATGTGTGCATTTATCTTCACAAGGTGAAGTTGGCGTGTAAAGTTAATGTATAGCCCAAAAACTTCAGGTTTTTTTGTAGAGTAGGAGAGGATTAAAAACACACGCAGGTTATTTTTGCTGCGCACCAGCAAAGTTAAGATTCTCCCAAAGTGAAGGCATTTCCCCCTCTTACACAATTTGTCTCCATTGGATGATTTCCCCTCACCTCCTGCTCTGGCGACAACTCCTAAAATGCTGTCTTTGGTAGTACAAATAAAATGAATCATGCCCAGTGGACACCAATTGCTATAGAAACATGACAACATGGTGGCTCAGTTAGTTTCCTTACCCATTAGGTTTACCTTGAGACCACCAGTAAGACTGCTTGTTTTAGAGTTACTTTACTTTATCCAAGGAAGAGTGATATTATTACCCTAGGTCAGGATGTGGACTAAACACCTTAACTGCTACTAACATAATGGGAGGTGATTGTAGTACTAACACTTCCTGATATTTCTATAGATCCTAATGTATAGACAGCATTTTTCATGTTCCCTTGGTAGGCATTTTGCAGCTTGTATTGCAATGTTAAACTTCCAATTTCTTGTCCAACTCATTTCACAAGTACTATCACAGCAGTTTTGGACTGCTGCCTTTGAGAGCACAAAAACATTGTAAAAAAAAAAAAAAGTGCATTCAACCAAAGTCTCTGAACAGCAGTTTCTGATGTGCAAGTCTAAAAGCTCATGCACAAGTGTCATTCAAATTTCTATCAAATGACCCAAATCTCTTCCAGACAATCCTTTCACAAGAGCCACATACAAAAATACAGAAGGCAGGGCTCACCCATTAACTGACAAGTTTAGTGACCATTCACAAAACATACCTGAATGACTGGCTGCCACGTGTTTCATGTACTCTGTCCATGTTTTTCCCACAAACGAGCAAGTGCTATCCTTCTGGCATGGATATCCTGGAAAACAAACAGATTACTGAAATCAGCTACAAATGACAGAACATGAATACTGGAAGATATCTGCCTGCATTTCAGTGCAACAAAACAAGTCTAGAAGTGGTTCCTGAGAGCTTTGTAGAGATGGTTACAATATCCACAGAAGATGCATCAAAATTTGGATTTTGGCCAGATTAATTGAGTACAGTACCTGCATGAACTTTTTCATGACGTTTAAGCCTAGACGGTGAGGAAAAGCTTTTGTCACATTCTTCATGACAACATCTATAGATATATATAAAAAAAAAAAAAGTCAATACCAAGTCCAAACAAAAGTAAAGTCCATGAACAGCTTTTGCTATCCAGCAATGCAAATCAAAGACCACCAAGTAACCCAAGTTTAAAGGATAAGTTAACCTTTTGATAAATGCACTTACAGGTAGAAATGTGCATTATTTTTGTTAAAGAACATAAAAGCATTGCACCACTGATCAGCAGATAGCTGATGCCATTCAGATCTCCTGCAGACCTGATAGTATATCTGCTTTCCTGTACAGGCAAGCAGATATACTGACAGGAAGAACCAATGAAAGCATTACAATTGAGAACTACAAGCCGATAGCTGTCAGAACTTGCAGTTCCTCATTCACAGAGAACTGTGAATGAGCTACGCAGCCAGAGCCCTGCATGACGTTTTTAAAGTTTTGACAGCTAGCAAGAGAAGATTCCCACTAGTTGTCAAAGCAGGGGAATGGGGGCTGGTCTATTCATAACATGTTACACCCCGAATACGGGTGTAATGTTATGAAAAGGTGAACTTATCCTTTAACCCCTTGACGCCGACGTAACACAAATATGCGGCCTCACGGACCTGGGCTTTTTTCTGTGGGGCCGCATATTTGCGTACCTGTCTTTGTGCTGGGAGCGCGCCGCTCAGCGCGCTCCCAGCACCAAGACCGCGGTGTCACTGAGAGCCCCGGGTCCCGTTCTAACGATTGGGACCCGGGACTCCCGATTCCGGGTCACGTGATTCGCTGTGATAGCCTCTGATTGGCTATCACAGTGATCAATCACTGTGCAGCCCGGCCCCCTTGTTTTTCTCTCTCTATGAATGGAGAAGAGAGATACATTGTATCTCTCGAACTCCTGACAGAGAGAGAAAAAAAAAAAAAGTTTGTAAAAAAAAAAAAAAAAAAAAAAAAAAAAAAAAAAAAAAAGAGATAAATAAATATTAAAAAATAAAGAAAAATACCTAGATCAAGGTTTGATCTAGTTCAGTACCAGGGTTAGTGTTTGGGTCAAGGTCAGGGTCAAAGGTCAGGGTCAAGGGCAAAGGTCAGGGTCAAAGGTCAGGGTTTAAAAAAAAAAATCAGTGTCAGTTAGTGTTAATGTCAATGTCAGTGACAGTGTGTTTTATGTAAAAAAAAAAAAAAAAAAAAAAAAAAAAAAACACAAAAACAAAATGCGCACTGTTGTTTCTGGGCTGTACTACGGGTACAAACAACAAATAACATACACATATATGGTATCGCTGCGATCGTCAAGAACTGGAGAATGTATTTTGGGTTGTTCTTTGGTGGTAGGTTATGGTCGTAACAAGAAACAGTTAAATTTAAAAAAATGATTTTTTTTTTTTACTATTTTGGCCCAGTTTTCCTTTAATAAAAAAAATTAGGAGCTATCCATGACCATTTACCACCAAATGAAAGCCCAATTTGTCCTGAAAAAAAACAAGGTATAATCCACCTGGATGTACAAAGTAGTTGTGACGATATGTACGGTTTTACTAACATGTCAACGTTGCAGAATTGTGCTTAGGCATTTAGATTTGTTTTACCCTTAGGCGTGAAGGGGTTAAAGCCGAAGTGTAGCCAACACAAAATAGCACAAGGGGCAAAAATTTACAGACAGTAGGATATGTCCCTTGGGCCAATGCCTCAGTTGAAATCCCAGTCTTGCAATCATCCAATGGAGCAGGGGGTTAATAGAATTGAGGGGCTGCCACAGGCTCTTGTCAACTATACCTGCACTTTCCACTTAACTCCTCTATTCATAGAAGCCATACCACAACCTCCATGAATGGAATAGAATGAAGCAGTGCTGGCTTGTTACACATCACTACTAGGAAACTATAGTTGTGCACCAACACTTGCCAGCCACCCTCTTATTGCCATGAGTAGTCTGATAGTCTAACAACTTCTGATGTAGAAAAAAACAAAAAAAAAAAACAAACAAAACTCTAAATTGTGTGTCTTTTATACCTTGTGTTTAGAGTTATTGGAAAGCAACTGGAAAAGACACTACTTACCATGATCGTAAAAGTTTAATTTAACCCCTTGGCACCTCCTGGCCCTTTAAGGGGTTTGTGAGGCCAGGAGGCAGGGCAGGGTTTTGCGACAGCCATGATTGGAAGGCTTCCAGCCACAAGTAGCAATCAGGACCTTCCCTGTGAAACGCCAGTAAAGTGTGCCAGGAGTGCGCTCTCAGCATATGTTGGGTATGCAAATGTGGCTCCTCCGTGCACCCACCCAACCACTGAGAGGCCGCATATATTTGTGTGCGCTTGGCACCAAGGAGTTAAATCAAACCTGTCAAACTTACACTCACCAATCCCAAACATGTCATACTTTTACTTTATTAGGTACACCTGTTAAATTGCATAACAGAAATTGCTAAATCAGCCAATCACATGGCAGCAGCTCAATGCATTTAGGCATCTAGACTGGGTGAAGGCAACTTGAAGTTCAAACTGAGCATCAAAATGGGGAAGAAAGAGGATTTAAGTGACAGATTGTGGCATGGTTGTTTGTGGTCTGAGCATTTAAAATACTGCTGATCTACTGGGATTTTCACACAACCATATCTAGGATTTAAAAGAATGGTCGGGGGGGGGGGGGGGGGGGGGGGGGGGGGAATCTAGTCATCAGCAGTTGGACATAAATGCCTTGTAGATAGAGAATGGGCAGACTGGCTCCTGTGACATTCAGATAGGGTCAGAGTCTGGCATAAACATGGATCCATCCTTCCTTGTATCAACATTTCATGCTGGTGGTAGTGTAGTGGTGTGAGGGATATTGTCTTGGCACTAGCCAGGTGTATAAAACATGGCTGGTGAGTACCTGTTCTGTGCAACTGTTTTGCACAGAGAAGCCCCAATCCTCGTCTTGGGTCACTGCTGGTGCTAAAGGGCCCTCCCCCTAGTCAAGTGCTCCCTCAGAGCAATGCACTTGTGTGCCACAATGAGATGGCAGACATCCAGGAGAGCTTCTGCTCTCATGCACATAGCTGGACTGGGCTCAGGCAAGTACAAGTGGGGGCTGCACATTGACCTTCATGCATAGATTGCATGAAGGTAGAAACAGCCTTTATAACCACTTTATCTGCCACCTAAGTGGGAGGGTGCAAACTGCTAGTGCAACCACACTTCAGCTCTGAGGAAGGGAGCATGTCCCTTGAAACATGTCAGTCTTCCAACTGTGTGGTATATGGTCAGACGACATTGCATTACAGCTGGAGTGGTTACTGGATACACCCATTTTTAAAGGTTTGCGAGTATGCAATGCCTTTTGGGATTCAATAAATAATTTGTGGTTGTAATGCACTAGTGGTGAGCCGACTAGCCAGGCAACAAGTTCTAAGTAAATCACAAACTTACTTGTAGGGCTGCTGGTTGGTATGGATGTACTGATGAATTTTTAGTTGATTGTGTTTCTTAAAGGTTTTCCCACAATCTGCAAAGTAACACTGAAGGAAAGGAAAAGTACTTAGGAGAAAAGTAAAATATGAACAAAGTAAACAAAAATACAAACCAGAATGTCAAATACATAAATGTGCTAGTCACCTATTGCAGAGCCTGAATAAGCCTGTATACCATGTACACAATGCTTAAAATGTTACTAAACACACAATAGTAAAATCAGTCTGTATATGCAGTAAAGCATACTTGTAATACCCATTGTGAAACCGAAGGGGTTAATCCTCTGCATTGTGTAAAGGCCGTTTGATCTTGAGTTCTGATTCCCCCCCCCCCCCCCCCCCCATTTCCTGAGAGGTGATTGTGTGGAGGAGTCACTCTACACATGCTCAGTTTGGTGTGTACTCCTACGGATTTTTCCTCATGGGAGGGTGCATGTGATCAGTACAGGGCCAACCAGCACTGTCCAGACAGGTCAGGGGTTCTGCATCCTACAGCAGAATTTAAACTACTACATGCTTTAACATGTGCTCTGCTGGACACTGATAGAAGTCACAAGACTGCTCTAACTGCTGATGAGAAGGTATGTAGCAGTTTAGATTTACTAAAATATAAAATAATTGCACTTCCATGTTGTGTACTGTGGGAGACCAGATTTAGTGTACTGTGGGAGACCAGATTTAGTGAGTGCAGGGTCCTGGGTTTAGTAAACAAAAAAAAAAAAAAAACCAAAAACCCCCACACAGCTTAAGAAAAGGCAAGGATGGAAAGATGTAATCAGTGCTGCTAGTAAATTAGCTTAAATCTGCATCTTCCCATAACCCACTGCACACCATAAAATTATATCCAAGCTGGCCAGACAGGATCAAAGTTTGGCTGGTTCCAAATTGACTGGTCAAATTTCAACTAGTCTATGGCCATTTCTGTTTGTGAGATATTGAGGTAATTAGACTTCTCAGGAATGGACGTGCTAGAAAGTTTGTATATGATCAGTGTATTCTGACACTAGGACTGTCAAAATACTGTAAACACCCACTTATTTTTCAGCCCACTGGCTGATCTAAAGACTGATCCATCTATGACCAGTGTCAGATGTGCTAGTACTGTGAGCCCAAATACATTTCCCAGCGTGCTTCTGTACCCCCCCCCCCCCCCAACATTTCAAGCCCTGGGGACAGATAAGTGTTTAGGATGGCTTAGGAATATGAACAATTATGGGTATAATATTCAGTCCAAAAGAAAACACAAAAGCACAAGTTTAGGGGAAGCTGCAGACCTTCATTTTCTGATAAGTTGCTGCATATCAGGCCAATGCACAAGAGCATTGAACAAATTGGGTTCAAATGGATACAAAGCAAAAGTGCCAGACATTTCTATTGTGCACAATTAGTTATAAAAAAAAAAAAATAATAATAATTTTATAAACTGTCCATTGTGGTTTCAGTTTTTTGCTAAGCGCATCCTGAATTTTTGGTTTCAGGCCAGGATTTTCATTTTGGTACACCACTAGTAAACAGGTTCCACCAAGGTCTGCTTGACATCTCATCTTACCACATAAATAAGGCTTGGAGAAAGATGAGCTCGTTGAAAATGTTTCCTCATATTTGTCATTGTGGTAAATGACAAGTCACAATCTGCAGCCTCACACCTAAAAGGGTAAAAACACAATTCTATTAGTTTTATAAAGTCATACACCTCTACCTCCAGTTCTATGTACAGACAGCTTTCAGTACCACTACTTGGTTACAGTTAGTCTCCTTTTCTGACACCTGGTTAGTTGTGAGTTTATGGGTTTTCAATAGATCTTTGTAAGGAGGGAGGCAGGGTTAAATAAGATCTTTGGCTCAGAGGCCAAGGTTTCAGTTAAAGTAATGCCTGCATTTGTGGACCCTCACATAGTCTTGCCTAGACTAAAGCTGTAAGTGTGCATATCTTTCCATAATCCAATCCACAGGCCCCCCTTATGCTGCTTACTGGTCCACTGAAGCTGCTCCCTAGCCAAAAAGCACCTAAAATGTAGATCAGTGGTCCTGAATTGCACATGATCAGGTATGATTTCTGGGCTAGCAGAACACACCAGAGTGGGCTGCAGTTGGACCAAGGTAGGTGCAAGACACTGGCTGAAATGGCCCTTGTGCACATATGAGCATTGTCACTTTTTAAACAACCAGCATGTTGCTACAAAATGTCAGATGTGAACAAGGGCTATTGAAAATAGGTTTGTTGACCAACTGAGCATCACGCTACAACACAGTGAAGTTTGAATGGGGCTCAGATCTGCGACGAGTCATTTTAAATCCCAACTGACATTTTAAAAATAATTCAGTAGCTGTATTATAACGTATAAACCTTCTGTTTCCCCAGGTTTCAAAGAAGGAACACACATACACTTATCCTGACAGGAGAAAATGTGTTCAGGGGAACTGAGCAAACACCAGTGTGCATGTGACCTAAACCGCAGAAGTGTAAGCTTTGTCTGCAGAGAATTAGCTGGCATGTCAGCCCAGTGGAAGATTGCCACTGTCCAATTGTTCTTAAAAAGTGTTACTAAACCCAGGACCCTGATAGCCTGACTAAGTCATGTGTTATGGTGACAACGTGTAGATACACAGCGACGCAGATTCCAGTCCACGGTGAGGTACATCCGGTACGGCCGCCATCTAGGCACACCTTGAGCAGCCCGAAACCCATGCAGTACACCCATGCATGCGGTTTGTGACAGAGGACCAATATTGTGTTGAGTGAAGCATTTTTTTTTTTTTATTAATAAAAGCACCTTACTTCTGATCAATACTACACTATGAGAGATTCTCTTTGTTTCTCATTGTTTAGATGAGTGGTATACCTAGCTGAGAACAGGAGCCAGTGAACCTTGAATGTTTACCTACCTGATGAGGGGTCCATGAAAGGTCCGCTGAGGATACCCACATCTATTGGAACAAGATCCTTCAGTGATCTTAAAGGCGTGTTGGCCCATTGGGTCGCAGAGTGGAGGTGAGAGGGCAATTTAGCCACAGGAGGAGTGTGTATTCACAGTCACTGGAAGTTACCTGTGTAATCACTTATTTGCATGAATTTATCCTGAGTGGAGTACCACTATCTACCATTTGTGAACTTTTGCTTTGTGGTTGTTGACCATCATTTATTCACCTAACACGCCCCTAGAGTGTTAATGAAGGGGGGCCACGTGACAGATTTATTCTCTTCTGGATCCAATATAGATCACCTATCTGCATATACAGTTGTGTTCAAAATAATAGCAGTGTGTTGAAAAAAGTGAATAAAGCTCATAATCCTAATAGCTTTTATTTCCATACACACAAATGCATCGGGAAAACTACACATTCTATTCCAAATCAAAACATGAAGAAAAATATCAAAATTTGTGTTCCTCTAAAAATATTGAAGAAAAGTGATTAGACTGTTGAAAATAGCAGTGTTTGTATTCTTCCTTACAATACTCAAACATTCACTATATAAACTGAAAAATGTTTGAAGATTTTGCTTTCCTTTGAATCAATTAATATTTAGTTGTATAAGCACTGTTTGAGAACTGCTGTACATCTGTGTTGCATGGAGTCAACCAACTTCTGGCACCTGTGAACAGGTATTCCAGCCCAGGATGATTGGACTACATTCCACAGTTTCTCCATTTCTTGGTTTTGCCTCAGAAACTGCATTTTTGATGTCACCCCACAAGTTTTCTATTGGATTAAGATCCGGGTATTGGGCTGGCCACTCCATAACGTCAATCTTGTTAGTCTGGAACCAAGATGTCGCACGTTTACTGGTGTTTGGGGTCGTTGTCTTGTTGGAACACCCATTTCAAGGGCATTTCCTCTTCAGCATAAGGCAGCATGACCTCTTCCAGTATTTGATGTGTTCAAACTGATCCATGATCCCTGGTATGCGATAAATAGGCCCAACACCGAAGTATGAGAAACATCCCCATATCATGATGCTTGCGCAACCATGCTTCACTGTCTTCACAGGTACTGTGGCTTGAATTCAGTGTTTGGGGGTCATCTGACAAACTGTCTCAGGCCACTAGATCCAGAAAGAACAATCTTACTTTCATCAGTCCACAAAATGTTGCGCCATTTCTCTTTAGGCCAGTCAATGTGCTCTTTGGCAAATTGTAACCTCTTCAGCACATGTCTTTCAACAGTGGGACTTTGCGGGGGCTTCTTGCAGATAGCTTGGCTTCACATAGGAGTCTAATTGTAACAGTACTAACAGGGAACTTTAGACTTTCTTTGATCTTCCTGGAGCTGATTGTTGGCTGAGTCCTTGCCATTTTGGCTATTCTTCTATTCATTCGAATGGTAGTTTTTTTGCTTTCTTCCACGTCTTTCAGGTTTTGGTTGCCATTTTAAAGCATTTGCAATCATTTTAGCTGAGCAGCCTATCATTTTCTGCACTTCTTTATATGTTTTCCCCTCTCCAATCAACTTTTTAATCAAGGTACGCTGTTCTTCTGAACAATGTCTGGAACGACCCATTTTCCTCAGAATTTCAGAGAGAAATGCACTGAAACCAGCATGTACAACATTTGCTGCCTTCCTTCAATAAGGGCAATAATTGCCACCTGTTTTTCAAAGCATGAATGACCTCACTAATAGAATTCCACGCTGCTATTTTGAACATGCCCCTTTCAATTAGTGATTCAATTACACAGAATCAGTAGCATGCACGTCATGACTGTTGGGTCTGTTGGATTTCTATTACTCTACTACACCTGCTAGTAAATTATTTGCCATGTAGAAATATAATTTCTACCAAAAACAGTGATTGATCAGGTTAGTGATGTCTGACTGCTATTTTGACCACAACTGTATATATTATAAGCATGTGCAGCATATATGTTTTTTCATGTTTATTTGTATTACAAATAACTATTGCTATTGGATCTTAAACAGCGCTGCACTATGTTGAATTAAACCCAGGACCCTGCATTTACTGTCCAGTCTGCCTGGGGTTGGGGGGGGGGGGGGGGGGGGGTTCAATACCAATTGCTTTTACAGTCTTTATGGGTGTAATAGCAATAATTTCTCCTCTGGCTGCATTCCTGAAGCCACTGAGAAGTACTGTGAGCTGTGATTGATCACAGCCTGTCACATGGTACAAGGCTGTTGTGAATAGTTTTGAACCATGTGACCTCTGATGAGTCACAGAATTCACAAGTAGTAAACAATGTCAGGAAGTGACATCTTTTTTACTACTGGTCATGTGATTACTGATTGGCCAGTTAGTGACCACAGTAATCGGGGACCTCACAGTGGTCCCATACATAGATTTGTGTTCCGCTGTTTCTGGTGGACACAAACTGCAGTGCTGCATGCTCCCTGGGACAGACAGACAGAGACATGCCGTTTATGGGTATGGGTTAGACAGGAAGAGGTTAAAGTGTTAATAAACCCAGGACCCTGAATTCACCATCTGGTCTTCCACAGCACACACTTGGAAAAGCAATTTTAGTAGGTATAAACTGCTAAATACCTTCTCATCACCAGTTAGATCAGTCTTGTGACTTCTATCAATGTCCAGCTGAGCACTAGTTAATCTTGTAGTTTTTCATTCATCTCTGACTGTCTTACAAGATTACATAACCCCCGATGGTGCTTTTTGTACCTGAACCAAACACATGCACCCTTGTTCACAAATCCCTCTAGCAATACACACCAAACAGAGCAGACTTTCCATTGCTGCTCCAACTATGGCAGCTGGATTTGGGACAGTAGAAGATCAGAGAAGACCAGAGCAAACAACCTTTTTACACAATGCAGAGGATTACCCTCCTTAGGTTCCACAGCAAGTATACTACACATGCTTACTGCATATACAGACTGATTTTACCATTGTGGGTTTAGTAACACTTTAACCTTTCCTGGCAATACAGCAAATTCCCAGAAGTTTATCCAAGCACTTACTTGCAAGGCTTCTCCCCAGTATGTGTCATAGAATGACGGGTCAAGTGAAACAAAGTCACAAAGCCTTTACTGCATCCTTCAAACATGCAGGGAAAAGGTCTCTAGTCAGAAAAGAAAGGAGAAAACATATTAAAACGTCACCATTTGCTTTGAGGACCAAGTCTGGATCAAATAATGCATAGTTTGTACAATGATAACTTCGCCACCCACTCAGGAAACTAGTGAACTCAATTTTCAAAGGGAAACTGATAAATTTTATCCTCATCTTCTATAGAACCAACAATTAATTTTGCTCCCTCCTGGTCTGTTTAATAAACCTTTGGAAACATCCTGCTAGATTGGTTTGATCTGGATCTTGCCAGAAATTCAGGAGCTGTCCTTTGCAAAGAGCACTTTTAGTTCCCATCTTGGACTACAGAACAATTAGCCTTTATATTTTGACATCCAAGAATGGGAGGGATTAAGTAGTTTCACAAAAGACACTAGGCAGGGCTAACACAACTCAGTCCACACAAGAGTCACCAGTCTACAACAGGACTCAAGAAAGTGGCCCCACTCTACCAGGGCTTGAGTTAAAGCGGAGCTCCACCCAAAAGGGGAATTTCTGCTTTAAGGACTGCTCCCCATTAAGGATTGGCACCTTTGGAAGGTTGGGTGCCCAAATTTGACAGGTATCCACTCCTAAGTCCAGTCCGATCGCCTAGGCGACCAGAAGTGGAAAATGTCCTCCCTCCCTGTAGTAGTTTGGGACATGTGACAGGTCCCAGAAGACTACAGAGCCATTCATAAAGCTCAGTGCTACTCATGCATGCGCAGTGGGTACCTGGCTGTGAACCCGCAAGCTGTCACAGCCGGGTGTCCACACTGAAGATGCCGGCCTCCTGGAATACAGTTCGGCCGGTGTAACTGGCTGCAGGGGACACACCGTGGGTTAGGTAAGTGGCGGGTTTTTTTAAAAGTCAGCAGCTACAGTTTTTGCAGCTGCTGACTTATTTGACAAGGTGAGTGGAACTCTGCTTTAAGAGTCAATTTTTTTTTTTTGGCCATAGCATGGGTTGTCAGTGCCTGGGCCTCCACATGATGCAATTTGCCATGTGATAATCACAGCATAACCACACCGTGTTTTAGGTACCATTGAATACAATGGCACCTGAATCTGCATTTTGCAACAGCAATTCTGCTGCAACCACAAAACACCCAAGTGTTAATGGAGATGCCCTGCTTCAAACATGCAATTCTGGATTCGATTTGAAACTCAGATTCTCATGACATGCTAGATAGTGTTCCTATTGAGGTGGTTCACAGATGCGATCCACATGCATTGTGTTTTGAGTGTCATTATGACAAGGGTCCCATGCAAGTTTGTAACTGTTCTAGACTCACAATTGAGAGTAGAGTGGCATGTGGAGATAAGTGTTCACATAGGCTTGCTATTGACAGGCAGTTTCACAGTCTACGGGAGGCACGACTTCTCATTGAAGTCCATGGGAGGCAGTATGAACCCAGGTGCCAGGAAGCAATTTCTAGTCACCATGGCCCCTAGGATTTGTCGAGCCCTGCACTATACAATCTGATTGTACAATTTCCTTTAGAAATACCAATAAGTGCATAGTGTAAGGGAGCTGCCTGATTGATACAAGTTGACTGGGTTGTTCATCTGTGTCCTTCTATTGCATGACCTTTGTAAACCTAAATGATTAAACAGAATGTACAGTGTATTGCCAGCTTTAGTGTGCACTTCTGGTAGATCAGGTCATTTTTCTGCACAGGCAGGGTCTTTAAAAAAAAAAAAAAAATAAATAGAATAAAATGCAGAAAAACATGCACATACCTTTTCTCATATTGCCTTGACATATGCATCAAGTTGGGCCGACATCTAAAACCTTGGTATTGTCACAAGGATGAAGTGAACCTTCCCAGCAATGAAGTTCTATAACCCTCCCCCACTGTTATAAACCAGCCAACATGATCTGCACACATACACAGCAGATAATCTATAAATTGGCACGTTTAAGAATGTTTTACTTTTTAGTCTGTAAGTGCTTTAACCTGGTACACTCAGTCCCTTTAAACCTTTGTGCTGGAGCACAATGCATAGTTCAGGAGCTGGAAAAAAGGTAGACATGTCTGGACAAGATCACTGCCATACATATGTATTTTATTTTTTTTTAAAGTGTTAACTTTTGGAGCCTGGAAAACATTCCAACCCTGATCAGCAGATAGTTTGTGCCATGCAGGACTCCTGCAGACCTGTCAGGGTATCCATGTGCTCATGCATCAAAGGCAAGCAGATACACTGACAAGAATCAATGAACTGCCACAGTGCTCAACAGTGGTGTGGTAGTTAATTGAGCAGTACAAGACAGCCCCAGACGCTGTTAGGACTTGTAGTTCATCCATTTGCAGAACCCTGAATGAACAACATGGCCGTGTGGGCAGAGCCCTGCACAGCCACAGTTTCAGCCAAGTGACAGCTAGTGTGGGGAACTTACTACTGTCACAGGGAGAGGGGACAGCAGGCAGCAGTGGGAACAGGTTACATGTTCCACCCTAAAAACGATGGAAAAAAATGTAACGTTCCCAATAGGTAAACTCCTTTAAATGCCTGACCACCAAGTCAAGCAGGCAGCAAGTACAACATTATATAGGCCACAGGTGTGATACACTGGGGTCTCTGTTTTTGCTATATAAAATGTATTGTCAATTGACAGTCTAGAAGACCAGAAATGACACTTTAGATTCTCCATGTAACAAGTTTTGCAAAGCCAAAACCTTCACACCCAGTTTCTGGATGGCAGATAAGTACAGACACCTGTCCTTTTTATTCCTATAGGGGAGATAGCCTCTGTTCTTGTAGTGCTGGACAAAGAAAGCCCCTCACATCTCCTGCTGTGCAAAACAGGAAGCAAAGGATGTCTTCCCTACTGGACAAACTGCAAAAAAAAAAAAAAAAAAAAAAAAAAAAACACACACAAACAAAAACAAAAAAGGAATACAGCTCAGCACTGACAGATCAGAGAAACCCCCACACAGCGCAGCACTGACAGTGGTCAAGAGCTTTAATGAGGACTACAGCTGAGCACTGGGTAATCAGGGGGATCTCAGCATTGACAGTGATCAGGGAGCACAGCTCAGCACCAACAGTGATCTGGGAGACCCCAAACAGTTTAGCACTGACAGTCCACATGGTCTTTGCTACACTATGTATGGGGTTTCACTGACCACTGTGCCAAGTTGTACTCCCTGATCTGGAAGCATCAGCTTAGCACTGTCAGAAAGATCCTATAGATAGGGGGAGCACAGCTCAATACTGGCAATGATCAGTGAGAAGTCAATAAAGAAAAGGAGGGGACAGGGAGCTCCTATGGGGAGCACAGCTCAGTCTGATCAAGGAGCTCTCAGCACTGACAGCAATCAAGATGTCCCCAAACAGCAATCAAGGAGCACAGCTCAGCAGTGAATGCTCAGGGAGACCTCCACACAACATAACACCAATGGTGTTCAGGGAGTACAGCTCAGCACTGACCATGCTCATGGAGACCTCCATACATAGCACTGACACCACCCAGGGAGACCTCCATACATAACATAGCACCGACCATGCTCATGGAGACCTCCATACATAGCACTGACACCACCCAGGGAGACCTCCATACATAACATAGCACCAACCATGCTCAGGGAGACCTCCATACATAGCACTGACACCGCTCAGGGAGTACAGCTCAGCACTGACACCGCTCAGGGAGTACAGCTCAGCACTGACACCGCTCAGGGAGTACAGCTCAGCACTGACACCGCTCAGGGAGTACAGCTCAGCACTGACACCGCTCAGGGAGTACAGCTCAGCACTGACACCGCTCAGGGAGTACAGCTCAGCACTGACACCGCTCAGGGAGTACAGCTCAGCACTGACACCGCTCAGGGAGTACAGCTCAGCACTGACACCGCTCAGGGAGTACAGCTCAGCACTGACACCGCTCAGGGAGTACAGCTCAGCACTGACACCGCTCAGGGAGACCTCCATACATAGCACTGAGTGCTCAGGGATTACAGCTCAGCACTGACAGCGCTCAGGGAGACATCCATACATAGCATTTAGTGCTCAGGGAGTACAGCTCGGCACTAAAACTCAGCACTGACAACACTCAGAGACCTCCATACTGACTGCTCAGGGAGTACAGCCCAGCACTAACATTGTTAAGTGAGACCTCCGTACATAGCACAGCACTAGCCATGACCAGGGAGTTGCTATGGGAAGCACAGCAGGGCTAGTGACCAGGCAGTAAAGCTCGGCACGTGTGCAGATGAGGGTTCCGGTCGGTGTCACGTGTCTCACCTCCCCGGTGTGTTTGCAGAGATGAGCCTGTAGCTTCCAGCTCTTGTTGTAGGAGGCGCTGCAGTCCGGGAAAGAGCATATATACCGTTTATACACGGCGGGTGGCGCCTTCTCGCCCATCTTCCCCACCCGGCCACACCGTCCCGGTTTCCCAATACTAAAGGCGCAGCTCCGAGCCACTGAGACCGCCATGGCCCGGCTTTCTACACACTGGACTCAACCACCGCCTGTCTTCTGAGAAGGGGAGAACAGGATACATACACCTACAAAGCTAGCCTGGGATAAACGATAAGCTGACTTTATCCCAATACAATTACCACGAGGAATACGATGTAAGATTCACTGATTTCGTTTTTGTAGCCACTGTACTATACAGCACCCCCCGTCGGAGATCTTCCTTGGTACGATCCTGTTCGGGTCACGTGCACAGCTTTGAAGTGATAGCGCGCCATGTTGGTGAGGTGTGACGTCCTGAGACACGTGTCCGGCTGTAGCTGGGCTCTTTATGTGCTACAGTTCTATGAAACGAATACAGAGGACGTGATGGGAAGTGTTCTAACGTACAGCCTGAGACCTCGTTCACACCATGGTGCAGATACGTCAGTTTTTCTGCACGCATTATGCAAGGTCTCAATGAAATCAATTGTTCTCTGTGTGCCCTGTTCACTTCACAACATGGATGTCACGTGCAGATTTTTTTTCTGTGCCGAAATCTGCAACAGGAGAGGTGGTCTGTATCCAGACAATACCAGTGTACAGGCGGGAAAGGTCCTCTGTATCCAGACAATACCGGTGTACAGGCGGGAGAGGTCCTCTGTATCCAGACAATACCGGTGTACAGGCGGGAGAGGTCCTCTGTATCCAGACAATACCGGTGTACAGGCGGGAGAGGTCCTCTGAATCCAGACAATACCGGTGTACTGGCGGGAGAGGTCCTCTGTATCCAGACAATACCGGTGTAATGGCGGGAGAGGTCCTCTGTATCCAGACAATACCGGTGTAATGGCGGGAGAGGTCCTCTGTATCCAGACAATACCGGTGTACAGGCGGGAGAGGTCCTCTGTATCCAGACAATACCGGTGTACAGGCGGGAGAGGTCCTCTGTATCCAGACAATACCGGTGTAATGGCGGGAGAGGTCCTCTGTATCCAGACAATACCGGTGTACAGGCGGGAGAGGTCCTCTGTATCCACACAATACCGGTGTACAGGCGGGAGAGGTCCTCTGTATACAGACAATACCGGTGTGCAGGCGGGAGAGGTCCTCTGTATCCAGACAATACCGGTGTGCAGGCGGGAGAGGTCCTCTGTATACAGACAATACCGGTGTACAGGCGGGAGAGGTCCTCTGTATCCAGACAATACCGGTGTACAGGCGGGAGAGGTCCTTTGTATACTGACAATACATAAAGGAGAGGTCCTCTGTATACAGACAATACCAGTGTACAGGCGGGAGAGGTCCTCTGTATACAGACAATACATAAAGGAGAGGTCCTCTGTATACAGACAATGCCATTGTATAGGCAGGAGAGGTCCTCTGTATACAGACAATACCGGTGTACAGGCAGGAGAGGTCCTCTGTATACAGACAATACCAGAGTACAGGCGGGAGAGGTCCTCTGTATACAGACAATACCGGAGTACAGGAAAGATTTGTCATCTGTATACAGACAATACCAGAGTACAGGCGGGAGAGGTCCTCTGTATACAGACAGTACAGGAAGGAGGGGCCCTCTGTATACACACAATGACGGTGTACAAGCGGGAGAGGTCCTCTGTATACAGACAATACCAGTGTACAGGCGGGAGAGGTCCTCTGTATACAGACAATACTGGAGTACAGGAAGGAGAGGTCCGCTGTATACAGACAATACCAGTGTACAGGCGGGAGAGGTCCTCTGTATACAGACAATATCGGAGTACAGGTGGGAGAGGTCTTCTGTATACAAACAATACCGGAGTACAGGCGGGAGAGGTCCTCTGTATACAGACAATACCGGAGTACAGGTGGGAGAGGTCCTCTGTATACATACAATACCAGAGTACAGTCGGGAGAGGTCCTCTGTATACAGACAATACCGGAGTACAGGTGGGAGAGGTCCTCTGTATACAGACAACACCGGTGTAACTCAAGAATGCACAGCGCTTGTATACATGCCTGTGTGCACAAGCGCATTGTAAACAATGGGCTGTATGTTAGGTGTTTTGTGCATCCTCATGCAGGCAGTATTATTCATGTCAATTGGGATGCAGTGGCTGCACAGTCACTGTGTTCAGTTTGTCAGCCATGCAGGTGCATGGCCAGAATGCACACTGTCTACATCTGTGTCTGTGCAACCACTCCATACCAAATGACATGAATTGGACAACTGACATGAACAGCTCAGAACACCTGTGCAAGGGTAGAAAGTGTGAACAAGGCTTTATGATCATACACAGAAAATGTTCCTTTTTTTGTGTGAGCTGGTGGACAAGCTTCATAGCCAATTTTTACCCCAGAAAAAGAAGGCAAAAGCTGCAGGCAACTCTTTGGTTCCTGAGGAGAGTTCCTTTCATTTCTCTCAGGCCCCTGGGTTCAAGTCTGGCACACATTTCCACCTTAAGACCTGGACGTAGAAACCCGCCAAGTCCAAGAGCAAGCTGTCACAAAAAGGGCCCCCTCCCTTGTCAGAGTGTGGAGACACCTTCACGTCAGTCTAGGCACAGGGCATATCAGACATCTGGGTCCAGAACATTATATCCAGGAGCTACAAACTAGAGTTTTGGTCTCTTCCTCCACCCTACTTCATGCTGTCACACTTGCTGTCCTCCCCACTAAAGTGGGCAGATCTGTACTTTGCTCTCTAGCAGCTCCTCTAACAGGGTATCATTGCCTCTAACCAAGAAAAGGAGAGGTTTCAGGAGTTCTACTCAAACCACTTTACTGTCTCCAAGGCAAAAAAGGTATTCACCCCAATCTGCACTCTTGCTATGAGCGCAAAACATTGCCAGTTTGTTGCCCTTTCCTATGGCTTGTCCACAGCACCTTGTGTCAAGGTGTTAGCTCTTGTCCTAGCGCTACTGAACTTTTAGGGTATCCTGTGGGATACCTGGATGACCTCTATCTGAAGTAACAGCTCATATCCATTTTACAGTACAGACCCTGCAGATGTTCAAATGAATCCTAAATCTCCAAAGACCTGATCCACCACTTGGATTATCTGGGCCTGATTCTGCACACAGCCCTGCCCAGGGTCTTCCTTCCTCCAGAAAATATCTTGGCATTCCACTGCAACATTCAGACCTTATGGTCCTGGAGATGCTCCACTACTCATTTTTGTATGAGGGTCTTGGGCCTGATGAAGCCTCCTTCAAGGTGGTACTATATGCCCAATTGCAATCCAGACCATTCTGACTGTGTGGGATATGCAAACTCAGCCTTTGAATTGCTCCATTGGCCTTACAAACAAAATCAGGCTTGCCTTAGTGTTGTGGATTTCCAGTCCTCTTGATTCTGGAGACTTGGTTTTCAGAAGAAGCTTGACTTCTGATCGATGTCCTGGAACTCAGGGTGGATGCCACAGTAACCATCAAGGGGCACCAAAAGTCACACAACTGAAAGAAATGTGAATCTCATCCTAGCCTGTGCAGAACTCCGTGTTATGATTCTGACCACAGTACTCGTTCCAGACATAGAAAATTGTCAGTTGGAATTTCTCAGTTGTCAGATTTTGGTCCCAAGGAAATGGTGTTTCAAACCCTTGGTCGCAGGTGGTCGACACCAGACGTAAACCTTCTGGCATCCAGGTTCAACAACACACTGGGCAGGTTTGTCACCAGAACTAGGGCTCCTCAGGTTTTTGCAGTGGATGCCCTGATGACTCCGTTCAACTTGTCTATGCATTTCCTCTGCTGTCTCTTCTTCCCTGTTTGCTTCACAGGATCAAGAGGAAGGTTTTTCTAATGATCTTTGTTGCACTGATCTGGCCCATGAGGACAGGGTAGGCAGACATATTCAGACTCCTAGTTGACTCTCCATAGGCTCTCTCAGATCATCCAGATCTACTGTTCCAGGGGTTGGTCCACCATCCCGCTTCTTGGTCATTGACTTTAACACTCCTGAAAACTAGGAAATCAATTTCTCTCAAAGTCTATCATCATACCTGGAAGGCCTGATTTGCATTGAGCGAGGCAAGGAAATTCCATCCCAGGAAATACTCCATGGGACAAATCCTGTCTTTCCTCCAATCCAGTCTGTATCAACTTTTGGCTTTGAGTGCTAACAAATGTCAACTTTCAGTCCTAGCTATTCCTTATCAGAGACTGCTTTTCTCTTACTGTAATTTTGTTGGTTCTTCCTAAACTGCCCTTCTAGCATATCAGGAATATCCCCTGGCTTCCACAACCCTCAAGGATGCCTTCCTCACTGTTTCCCTCAGTGAGACATGTCATGTAAGGAGCCTTTACTAGAATTACACAGGGATAAGGTTGTCTTGTGGCCTCAGGACTCCTTTCTTATTAAGGTGGTTTCTTCCTTCCATTTTACCCTGGACATTGTTGATCTCTCTCTGTGCGCTGCTCCAAAACTCCATGACCTGGTCCAGAACAGTACTTCTTTTTAGATTGTAAGCAGGATGCAGGAGCATCTTCTTGTGACGTTTGGGATCCCAAGCTTCCCCAGATCCAGAAGGCCCTTGACATCACCCTTGTTAGGCCCTGGGGACAGATGTCGGGTGTAATTTATTCTGTATTTTTGCAATTTGTAATGTCTTAATTTTACAGGGGGGGGGGGGCCTCAAAACTAAGCAGACCCTGCATTTTCTATAGATGCAAGGTTCAATTTAATGCCACTAAAATTACTCAAATATCTGTCAAGAGGAAGTTAGAGACAAAACAAAAGATCTCAATTTAAGTAATCAAAACCCTACAAAAGTGGTAATGCTTTAAAGTAATTAGATGAATAGTTTTATTAAAAAGAAAACTTCCAGTAAATTGCAGTAAACAGAAGGAAAACACAGTTAGGTCCATATATTTATTTGAACACAGGCACAATTTTCATACTTTTGGCTTTGTATGCCACAACAATAAATTAAAATGAAACAATCCAACTGAATTTGAAGCGCAGATGTTCAGCTTTAATTCAAAGGGGTTAAACATAAATATCAAGTACAAATTTTACTAACTGCAACCACTTTTATACACAGTCTCCATTTT